AAATGTGAAGTTGTTACAGTAAGTGCTGCACTTTTAACATTACAGTGGTACCTCAGGTTAAGAACTTAATTTGTTCTGGAGGTCCGTTCTTAACCTGAAACTGTTCTTAACCTGAAGCACCACTTTAGCTAATGGGGCCTCCCGCTGCCACCGCACAATTTCTGTTCTCATCCTGAAGCAAAGTTCTTAACCTGAGGTACTATTTCTGGGTAGCGGAGTCTGTAACCTGAAGCGTCTGTAACCCGAGGTACCACTGTATGGGTAAAATGGGGAACGGGGGGGGGGGGGGAATTAATAACTTACTTTAAAAATAATTGCAAACTGTTAAAATCGTTAGTTGGATTGTAATAACAATTGAAGTCTAATGGTGAAATTTGGATACAATGGAGATGCAAAAGATTTGGATGATTAACAAGAGGACCCACAAAGGGGAGGTGGGGGAAGTCCAGGAGATCCTTTGGGGTCTTGTTTTTATGGTGCATGTTGGAAATCTGTTTGGTAAATTTTAATTTTAAAACAAAACAAATAAATAATTTAAATGCTGGTACTGAGTACCCTTGAGTACCCCCAGGGAAAAGAGCACTGGTTTAAATCTTGTCTAGAGCTCACCTCCCCCCCCCCCACACACCTGTGCTCTAAGTAAGGTGGCCATTTCAGGTACCTGAGGAAGCAGACTCTCCAGTGCAATCACGGAATGGTAAAGTTAGGTGGGGCCCCTGAGGGTCATCTATCCCAACCCCGGGCAACGCAGAAATCTCAACTAGATCATATACTGACAGACGACCATCCAGGCTTTCCCCTGCCCCCCCCCCGCCTCGACTCCCCTGTTTCCTTCGGGCACTGCCCGTCCCTTCGCCGCCCTCCCTCCGCCTCACTCACTGGGGGTGGCGGCGCTCCGGCAGGCGGCGGTGCAGCGAGATGCGGTCGCTGAGGTAGATGTTGATCTGGTGTCTCCGGATGCTCTCCTCCTGGAGCCGCTGCTCGGCGGCGCTCAGCTCCAGGCGCACGGGCCGGCCCAGCTCGCCCAGCTCCGCTTCCCTGCCCAGCGGAGGCTTGTCGTACACGGGCCTGCGCAGGAGCCGCCGGGCGAGCTCGGCAGGCTGCTGCGAGGGGAGCGCGGCTCCGCCGGCCTCGCCCAGCTCCGAGTCCGGCAGGCCGCGTTGCCACAGCAACAGCCAGCCCAGCGCCCCCGTCGCCGCCACCAGCAGGGCCGCCGCCGCCAAAGCCAGAGGCCCTCCCGCTCGGGACACCCGCGACCGCCGGACCCGCCGCATCTCTGCAGCGCCGCCGGCGCTGGCCTCGCTTGAGGAGCGCGGGGCGGGACCCGAGGAGGAAGGGCCGCCCCGCCGCCGCCGCCGCCGGGCCCGGAGCGAGGAAGCGGCCTTCTTTGCAGGATGAGGCGGCGCTGAGGGAAGGAGCAGCCGAGGTGCCTCAGAGGCCGCGCGGCTCCTGGCCTCGGAAGTTTGACAGCTCGCCACAGAAAAACACAAAACACAAAACACGCAACCAAACAAGAAAAACGAACCAGACTTTATTCGCCTGTTCGTTTATTTAATTTTTATACCGCCCTTCATCTCAGGGCAGTCAGCGACAGAAATAATAATAATACATGAGACGTAATAAAAAACGCAACCAAAAACTCCCCGCCCCGCCCGTCCCACAAACATTTAAAAAGCAAGATTGTCAGTAGGCCTGGTTGAAGTGAAAGGTTTTTTCGACAGGTGACTAAAGGCTTGCAATAAAGGCCTCAGGCTAGATTCCTCAGGGAAAGCATTGCACAAGCAGGAAGCCACTGCAGAAAAGCTCCTGCTGCCCTTTGCACCTCTGTCAAAGATGAGGGTGGAATGATAATTGTTGGGGGTAGTGGGGGATGCATGCGGATAGTTTTCAGCACAACCCGGAAAAGAGAAGTGAAACCCCACTATTTTCAACAGGGCCTGTTTCCTGACCAAGTGTGTTTGCAATCCTATGTGCCCCTTGTTAAGTTGTGGGTGAACATATCAGATGACACAGCAATTCTTCAAACAGCTCTTGTTTATTCACAGAACAGAACTGAACTGAAGGGTTCAGCCAGCCTGCTTATATAGAGCTCCACTAGAACGCAACAGTAACCATTTTCTGTAACTATCCAATCACTGAACGTCACTTTCAATCCCTTATTTGCATATGTGGACCTGAGTGAAAACTATCTACAGTATCCCCCTGCTGGCCCAGGGTGAGAACTTCAGTACATAACACCCCTAGTTCCAGGGACGGTTTCCAAGGACTCACTTCTGAGTGGAGAGGAGTCCTTTTTTTTTTAATAAATTTTTATTGGTTTTCCAAACACATAACTAAAGCAAACAATAAACAAAACAGAACATACAAACATGTATAATTTCATAATCTTGTTTTCATGCACCTTGCTTCGCGGACTTCCCCATACCTCCCCTTTTCTGCATCCTTGTTTTTACCTTTCTTCAGCAACCCTCCAACTAATTAATTAAATCACTTTCATTACATTCTTATTTCCTTAACTTATTGTTTACAGTTGCAATTCTTTATTTCTTAACACCTTAACATCTCAGTGCTCCTCAATTTTACAACAATTTTTAAGATAGATTTTAAATTTCTTCCAGTCTTCTTCCACTGTCTCTCTCCCCTGGTCACGGATTCTGCCGGTCATCTCTGCCAGTCCCATGTAGTCGATCACCTTCGCTTGCCATTCTTCCAGAGTGGGTAGTTCTTGTGTCTTCCAATACTTTGCCAGAAGAATTCTTGCTGCTGTAGTAGCATACATAAAAAACGTCCTATCCTTCCTTGACACCAATTGGCCGACCATGCCCAGGAGAAAAGCCTCAGGTTAAAAGGTACCTTCAGTCTCATTACATTTCCAACATTTGTTATTGGGCAAATGGTAAATTTTTGCGAGCTTGACTGGGGCCATGTACCACCTGTAGATCATTTTCATTATATTTTCTCTCAAGGCATTACATGCCGTAAACTTAACACCGGTGTTCCATAACTGTTCCCAGTCAGCAAACATAATGTCATGACCAATGTCTTGTGCCCATTTAATCATAACTGATTTCACCGTTTCATCCTGTGTATTCCATTTCAACAGCAAGTTATACATTCTTGACAGGTTCTTAGTATTGGGTTCTAACAGCTCTGTTTCTAGTTTTGACCTCTCCATCTGGAAGCCTATTTTCCTGTCCTGTTTAAATACCTCGTTTATCTGAAGGTAATGCAGCCAGTCTCGTACCTTAGGCTTTAATTTCTCATAACTCTGTAGTTTAACTATTTCACCGTCTTGTTCTATAATTTCACAATATTTTGGCCATTTGGACTCCATATTTAGTTTTTTAGTCTCTTTATCTTCCATTGGTGATAGCCACCTGGGAGTTTTACTTTCCAATAGATCTTTGTATCTCATCCAAACATTGTATAATGCTTTCCTAACAATATGGTTTTTAAAGCCTTTATGCAATTTTACCTTGTCATACCATATATATGCATGCCAACCAAATCTATTATCAAACCCTTCCAGATCCAAAATGTCTGTATTCTCAAGAAGCAGCCATTGTTTCAACCAGCAGAAAGCTGCCGATTCATAGTAGAGTCTTAAGTCCGGCAGGGCAAACCCCCCTCTGTCTTTTGCGTGGAGAGGAGTCCTCCAGATATTTATTTAATGGTGAGGAAAATCCTGGAAGATTTTGACAAAAAGCTGTTTCCCCAGTTATCCATACCAAGCCCTCCTGTTGCCTTCTCCTGGAGGAGTCCGGAGGGTGGCAACACAAGAACAGGCCTGCTCTGTGGTGGCTCCCTGCTTGGGGGAATGCTCTCCCCAGGGAGACTCACCAGGCACCTTCATTATGTACCTTTCAGCGCCAGGCAAAAAACGCTTCACTTCAACCAGGCGTTGGGGCTGATGGACATTCTGCGGTTTTTGAAATGTGCTTTTAAGGAGTGGGCCAATTCTTGGTTCGTTTTCGTTGCATTGTTTATTTTGCATTCTCATATTGTATAATAATAATAATAATAATAATAATAATAATAATAATAATAATGTATTTATTATTTATACCCCACACATCTGGCTGAGTTTCCCCAGCCACTCTGGGCGGCTCCCAATCGAGGGTTAAAAACAATAGAGCATTAAATATTAAAAACTTCCCTAAACAGGGCTGCCTTCAGATGTCTTTTAAAAATAGGATAGCTGCTTATTTCCTTGACATCTGATGGGAGGGCGTTCCACAGGGCGGGCACCACTACCCCCTGTGGGTTGCTTTTCTGTTGCAGACAGCCTTGGGATCTTCGAATGAAGGGTGGTATACTAAATAAATAAATAAATAGACAAATAAATAAGGCATTGGCCGTGGGAGGGTGGGCTTGTTGGGTTGTTTTTCCTTTTTTTACATACTTTGCATTCTCCTTTCATATTTCTGTTGAGGGCCACCCTGGGATCTCAGGAAGAAGGGAGTTTACAAATTTAATAATAAATCAATCTGGTGTTGGCTGTGAGAAGGGGGGTGTTTATTGGTTTGCTTTTTTTTTATTCTGCATTTTGTGTTCTCGTTTGTTTGTTTTCTGCAGCGGACCATCCTGAGATCTCCGGATGAAGGGCGGTATACAAATTTTAGTAAATATATTTAAGGGGCAGCATAGCGCTGGCTGTACGAGGGTTCTATTCTCCCTCTCGGGGATGGAAGGCGCTCGGGCGCTATGCCAAACTTAACAAGCCAAATTAATGAATAACTAAAACCGGCGGCGGGCTGTGCGTGGCTCCCTTCACCCCGTAGCGAAGCGAAGCCCCAGTCCTCGCCCGGAGGCCTCAGCCCAGCGCCGCCGCCGCCCTGCCTGCCTCGCCTGCCGTCCCTCCCTCTTTCCCTTCCCGGCCGGACTGTGCGGAGAAGACGGCCGCCCTCCCTGCCTCGCTCCTCCGCCTCCTCTGACGAGCGGAGCCGGGGAGCCAAGAGAGGAGGACGCCCGGCGGCGGCGGCGGAGCGCGAGGGCCGCGGATGGGGGAGTGCGGGGTGGCGGCCGGCGCCCAGCTGCTGCTCCGCGCCTGCGACCAAGGCGACTGCGAGGGCGCCCGCCGGCTGCTGCTGGGCCCGCCGGCGGCCTCCGGGGCCGGCGATGAAGCGGCGGCGGAGCCCGGCAGCTGCGCCGCCGCGCCCGGCGGGTCTGGAGCTGCTGCGTCGGGCCTGCCGCCGGGCTCGGTGCCCGTGGACTGCGCCGACGAGGCCGGCAACACGGGGCTGCAGTTCGCGGCGGCCGGCGGCCACGAGGAGCTGGTGGGCTTCCTGCTGCGGAGGGGAGCCTCGGTGCAGAGCCGCAACCACTGCGGCTGGAGCCCGCTCATGCAGGCGGCCAGGTCAGGGCGAGAGCAAAGCCAGGCCGGGGTCTTGTGCAACGTCGGGATGCGAGGGAAGACGCTGGCCGGTTTCCCGACCCTTGTGAACATAGGTCCCAGCTCCCTGGGTGTCCGGGCACCCACAAAATTCCCCAGTGATGGGGCTGGGCACCCCCAGATTTTGGTGCCAGGGCCTTGCACGTTGCATGGCACTCCTGCTTGGGTGCATCGTGTGGGTTAGAAGGATCATAGAACTGTATGGAAGGGGCACGAGGGTCATCTAGTCCAACCCCCTGTTGTCGGCATCCTTCTGTCTCGAAAGACGGCGGAATGCACCTCCGAAAGTGAAATCAAAACTGCTGTGTGCACAGCAGCAAAGTGACCTCCCTGAGGCGCAAGCCTAGGCAATGTGTATGGAGATCCTGGATGGGCCAGACAACAGGACCCTCCTCTTGGCCTCGCTGATGCCAAAGGGATGAAGAAAAGCAGAGCAGTACGTTTGGCACCAGCGTGGCTGCAGGAGTTTGCCCGAAGGAGGTGTACAACTCGCCATCCAACCGTCTTAGGGACTCTGCTCTGGATTTGTGTAGTGTTTAGCACTTAGCCTAAGGTTACCAGACGTCCCCGGATTTACAAATCAGTCCCCATACAAAATCCATTGAAGTTGAAAAGTGTCCCCGGATTCAATGACAAAAATCTGGTAACCTTAGCTTAGCCTTTTCTTTTCCCAAATATGTCCCACAAGGCAGCGGAGGTTTAGGATCAGAGAAGCGGAGAATTGTAGAGTTAGAAGGAACCACAAGGGTCATCTGGTTCAACCCCCTGAAAAAATTGTAAGTGCAGACCATAACGAGAGGTTTGCCTCACTTAAGAGGTCCGAAGGAGATTTGAACTGAGCAATTATCTGCTCAAATCCCATTCTCTGACCATGACACCGCACTGTTTCTCTGCATTGTTAAGGCAAGAGTGCCTTAAATCCAAACAATGCCATTTCATCCTACTGGGTATCATAACGTTTTCTCTCTCTCGTCTTTTCCCCAATCAAAGGTTTGGACATCTGACTGTGGCTCGCATCTTGCTAGAAAACGGCGCTGACCTTAATGCACAGAACAAACTGGGAGCCAGCGTACTTACAATGGCTTCTAGGGGTGGTCACGTCAGTGTGGTGAAGTTGTTGCTGGAATCGGGCGCTTACGTTGATAATTACGACCACTTGAGTACTAGCTGGGATAACAACAAAGAGGAATTGCCAGCTATCACCCCCCTTATGGCAGCTGTCCAGCACGGGCATGAGGCAGTGGTCCATCTTCTGTTGGACTGGGGAGCGGATTGTAATTATACTGTGAAAACGATGGGTTGGACTCCCCTAATGTTGGCGGCTGTTAGTGGAAGAGTGAGCTTGGCTCAGCAGCTTATGAACAAAGGAGCCAATCCCGATCATCTGAACACACTGCATAAAACACCATATGAAATATCTGTTGACTTCAAACATGAAGATATGATGGATTATTTGGCACCTTTAACAACAGTTAGACCTCAAACAGGTATGAGCTGCTTTGCAGTTATGGGTCTCGCTGTAGTTATTTTCTTGATTGGGAAACTCCCTGACTACAAAAAAAAGGAAAAACAAGGATGATTTTCTTGGCAGGACTGATGGCTGATAGCAGGTCTTGTCCTTATGGCCATATTATGCCCACTAATAACGTCAGGAGAGGGGTGTTTAGCTGTCAAGACATTGTAATACAAGGGGTAAGCAGTCAGTTCAAATAATAAAGTTGTTTATGAAGAGGAATACTAGTGGTCCAGTTTCTCAGGCTCGAAGAAACCTTGGCCTCTCTTTATGGGACCATCTACTGATCCTGTGTGATACATAATTTGTTATTCCTAATAGAAAACAAACAAGATTCTGGTTGTCAACCTTTTTGTACCAGCTGAATACCTTTGTATTCTCCCTGACTTTCAGAACTATGTTTCGGTCCTTGGAACAGATTATTGCTGCCAGTTTTTAAATGCTGTTATGCTACTTTTAAGGCAATAAATTGACTTGATTGATTCTTAATATTTTAGATGCTTTAATGTTTTAGTTGTTGGAATTCTGTGCAAACTGCCCAGAGGACATTGTTGATTGGAGAGCCAGCAAATATTAATTGATTGATTGAATTAATCCATTCATTTGAAGTATGCTTACATGATGTACAATCAACTAGATAGTTATTTTCCTTTTGTAGAAATGACCGCAGTTTTTGTACACAATGTGCTTATTCATGAGGGGGCTTTGTCACTCACTATAATGGAGGGGGCCATTTTATGATCAGTTGAGTCCCCTCCCTTAAAATATATGATGCTTCTGGAAAAAGGGAAGCACCATGTGAGCTTCAGAGCTCCCACACTTGCAAGGAATTGCTGGATCAGAGGACTTGGGCATGGAGTTTATTTAAGTCCATAACTGATGAACTTAAATTGTTGCTTTCAGCTTCCAGTCTTTGCTTTTATTTCATTTCCCTTTTGTTCTTTTCTGTATTTTAGCAACCTGTCTCTTTTCAAAATCCTCATACTCTTTTTTTTTTTTTAACCCAACTTTTTTCCATGGCAGAAGAACTTGAGAATTTCTTGAATGAACTTTAACGGAGGGCGTAGTAGTGTTACGCCAAGAGAGTAGGTTGTCCTGGGACCATGTATGTAGGAATGTACATAAGCAGTAAACAAGATATGATTTGATCCAAACCGTGATCTAAGGAAAGAGCAGTGCTTTGCATGCAAAATGTACCAGGTTAAACCTGTGACTTTGCCACGTAGGGCTTAAAAAGACATCTGTCCAAAACCCTGGACAGCAACTGTTAGCCAGTGTGACAATACTGAGCAAGATGTGTGTCATTCACTATAGTGCAGCTTCTTGTGTTTCTGACAGCAGAATCTGGACAACAGACTTAAGGTGGAGAAAAACTGTACCAACCTGATTTATGTAGAGCAGCCTTCCCAAAGCTGGTACTCTGCAGATGGTTTAGACTCTTAACTCTCATCATCCTTTACAGTTAGCCATGCTGGCTGGGGTAGGTGTGTGTTGGAGCCCAAAACATCTGGAGGGCAGTAGTTTGGGAAAGACCAGTGATGTAAATAATCAAATCTTAGCATACAATAAGCACCATCCTCCATCTTTTTCTCCTCCCTCCTTCAGAAGGGTACTGGTAGCCAATATATTTTTAACCTTTTATTTCTTTTTCTCTTTCAGCTAGCTCTTTCATTCTTTCCATCTCTACAATCAGAATTTCTGCCTTCTTCAATACTGGCATTTCCTCTCCTTTTCTCCTGTCTTTTCCCTGATCCAGCAAGTCTGACGTCTCACGGGCTTCATTAGTACAAAAGATGACTCTCAGGAGTATAGGACCCAAGTTCTACGTGGGCAACAGGCTTGCTGTGATGGTTTCTGGTAAGGCTTGTTATGCCTTGGGAAAAGGCACGTCACTACTAAATTCAGAGTGTCGCTCTGTACCCTGCCATAGAGCATCCACACCCCTGTGAGTCCTTGTTGGTCTAGACCCACAAATTGCTCTGGGACAGGCTGCATATAGGATGCTGCCATACGCAAGGCTGCAGTGGTGGGGGAGCTGAGACTGGAGTCAGCCTTAAAGCTCCTCCCAAGCCTTCTGTACTTAGTAGGGTTGGGGCCAGGATTATAGGAGAAAGGAGCTGGCTAAAATGGGTGCTCAGGCCTCCTGGGTCCTCAACACTTGGATGGAGGTGGTCAGAGCATGCCATTCTGCTGGATCCTCCCTCCCCGCCTGCCTGCCTCACAACATACAGCTTGAGGGTGTTTGTACACTCAGGGTGCACTGAATGATCTGGTATAGCCTGGCATGGAGTCTAGAATGTACAAACATACCTGTGCCATTTCCCCTGACATGTGAAGGGCTGAATCATGTCCTAAGGTTCTGTTGTTCAAGGCTACAAATATCTGTCTGGGGAGACAGTGAGGAGTGCGCCTTTGTGGATGGGGTCAAACTGTTGGAAGGTTACAGTGCCTGCTGTGGCTGTAAAGGTCGATGCAGGAGAGACATGTTTTGTTGCAGCTGGGGCAGATGAAGGCGTCCGGTTGTGCTGCTGCAGATGCACCATGGCGTTTCTTCCCTCTGTGCTCCTCCCAGCAATCATTCCTCCACCAGTCACTGCTATAGATGCACGACCTGACTGCCTGTCTCCAGGCACTGTGGTTGTCTGCAAGGGATTGATGGCAGGGTTGAGGCTGCTACTAGTCACTGAGGCAGGAGTGTGAACATGCTGGGAATGTGGATTTGGGAGAGTGTGTCTTTGTTTGAGACTCTGTCCTGCCATGGGATGCCTAAAATCTTGTGGGAGGCATTGAGGTTTCACTCCTGGCGGGTGTAAGTTGCCTATGACTTCCTTCCATAAAGCAGCATGCAAATCTGGTAGACCTTCATCTTGGTATTGGACGTTAGCATCCCATTCTCCCATACCCTTTTGGAGAGAGGCAAGCCATTGCTGTAGCTGCAATGCCAATAATACGCAGCTATCACTATGTGATAGCTGCACATTATTAATTTTCTTGTTCTTGTGACTTTTCACCTTATGTTTTGGGAAATGGTACCCCAGTGCTCCTTTGGGTCAAGTGAAAATCGCAACAGCTTTTCACCATAGCAAACAATCACAGCCCCAAGAGACCAGGGGCGAGAGGAGGGTAATGGTACCTCAACAAACCTTCTCGCTTCAGAGATGAGCAGCATCACAGGACAAAATCCCAAGTATTTTTTCATTAATTTGGGTTGGTTTTTTTTAACCATTTATAAATCAAAACACAAATTTTGAAGTCAAACGATTTACAGTGGTACCTCGGGTTTAGTATTTAATTTGTTCCGGAGGTCCGTACTTAACCTGAAACTGTTCTTAACCTGAAGCACCACTTTAGCTAATGGGGCCTCCTCCTGCTGCCGCACCACCGGAGCACGATTTCTGTTCTCATCCTGAAGCAACGTTCTTAACCCAGTGGCGTAGCGTAGGGGGGGCTGGCCGCACTGGGCGCAACATCGGGGGGGGGCGCTCGCACTCGCAGCTCTCTGCCCCTACCTGGCTCACTCACTCTCTCTCACTGCAGTGCTGGCTGTGCAAATCCGATCCGAGCCGCCGGGTCGCCGCCCACTATGGAGGGGGGGGGTGCCAGGCGTGCGGTGCAGGTTAGGGGGCGCAAATCCACGGGTTAGGGGGTGGAAATTACTTGCCTTGCCCCGGGTGCTGACAACCCACGCTACGCCACTCTGGGTTAGCAGAGTCTATAACCTGAAGCGTATGTAGTCTGAAGCGTATGTAACCCAAGGTACCACTGTCCGTAAAACACATCACATTATTTGCTGTTGTAGCATCAACTGCAGTTGTTCTATAAACTTTATACTTTTCTCCCCACCCCCAGATAAACAGAAGAGGCAACCAGATATCTTCCATGCCTTGAAAATGGGTAAGGTCCTTAAAAATATTCTAACACATCTGATGTATTCCTGGGTATAGTAACTAGAGGCATTCTAGTAGGAAAGAGCCCAAAGGTTTGGCTATTTCAAATGACCGCTCATATTGCTGTAGCTCAGTGGACCTCTTTCAGGTGCACGAAGCAGCTTAGTTCAGTCTCACCCATACAGTTAGAATTAATCCCTTCGGCACTTAAAAAATAAACCTTTTAACTTCCTGAGCTCTTCCTTTGTTAACCATGTTAACCATCTCCACAGGGAATTTTCAGCTGGTTAAAGAGATTACAGACGAAGACCCTGCACAAGCCAATGTAATTAATGATGATGGTGCTTCTCCACTGATGATTGCAGCTGTAACTGGACAGTTGCCTCTTGTACAGCTGCTTGTTTCAAGAAACGTGGATATTGACAAGCAAGATACTATCCATGGCTGGACAGCACTTATGCAGGCCACATATCATGGGTAAATATCCTTCTCTCACCCCCTCCCAGTGTGGAGTAAGATAAGTCTTGTTACCACTGCCAAGGAGGTGTATTTGCGTTCTGGTTTTTTATTTCCTGCCCATGTTTAGGTCTAATATTACAGCCCCTGAAAATGACAAGGAGTAGGTGGGCCAAGAACCGGGGGTGTTTTCCTGTCCCACCTACCTATGGCCGTGCATTGGACATAACATTATTATTACATTTGAAAGCATGTAGGCAGGAACTGTAAGGTTGTGATGGCATGGGGAATGAAGGTTAGCCAGCCATCCATCCCTTCCTCATCCCTTCCACCCAATGGATATATTTTCTCTCTCTGTCTGCCTCCACTGAACAGCCCTTTTAACATTTTGGACTTTTACTAACCCAACCTATCATTCTTATGCAGGAAGCAGAGTGTTAGGGCATCTGCTTGTGGGGTGAATAACAGGGCCTCAAACCAGTTTCTCCCCCCAAAACAAACAATGCTTTTACTTAAAGTTTTAGTAAGATAGCATGTTACTAGTTTTAGACAAAATGGTTTTAGGAAGAGAAAATATTATTGCTGTTTAGGTAGTCACACATAAGCGCAAATCAATTTAACCAACAGTTAATTTTAGACACTTTCCCTAGCAAAGCCAACATTTATCAGTTTGCATCATTCCTGACCATTGGTCATGCTACCTGAGCCTGATGGGCATTGGAGTCCAACAATTTTGGGAGGGCTATAGATGTCCCATCTCTGGTTTAGGCCATGTCAAGGTGCATTGCCTAAAACCAAAAATTCATCACTCTGTTCAGTCTTCTTTACTTAATCTGTTCTTTTCTGCTAGCAACCCTAATCTTACTTTTGAGATAAATATTTTTAAAGGAACGGATTGGGGTGAAATCACGGAGGGTCACTAACTTATGCCAATATTAGGAGTTCTTCACTCTCTTCTCTCTTATCCTCGTATAAGCAATCAGGTACATAGTACCAGGGTTGTTAGCTCCAGAAGATGGAACTCACAATGATCTGTGGGTGATGCCAGAAAGTTAACAAGAGCTGTTGTCGGAAAACTGCAGGTGTAGATAAGGGTTCTTGTCTCAACCAAACAGTATAGGTACTAGGACAACAAATCTGGTCCTGAGACAGCAATGTTTGGATACTGAGTGTGTTGCAAAAGTACCTAAAATCCTGGTGACAACTCTTGAGCTGAATTGCAAACTGATCAGGGCTAGATTAGTTGGTAAGTAGATGGGCCATATAAGGTGGCCTTAGCACAAGAAACAGTTGTTAATAGAACACACGCAAATGTTTAGGAGAGATTAGAGGGAAGAGGCACACAGGCAATTCTCAGACCTTTCTAGTACCCTTGTCTAACCAAGCCAAATATATATATGTAACTTACCTTCTTTTTTCTTTGAAGAAATAAAGAAGTTGTTAAGTATTTATTAAATCAAGGAGCTGATGTCAACCTGCGTGCCAAAAATGGATATACAGCCTTTGACCTGATAATGCTGCTGAACGATCCAGGTACTTCTTTTTCTAGTGGGGTATCCTTCTTGGAGTCTTGCAGCAAAAACAACAGAGAGTCTTTTGGGTGGAGTACTTCCCATAAGATAAGAACCTGATTTTTTGCTGATGCACTTGTGGCGTTGATAATTCTTTCCAGGAAACTTGAGTGTGATTTTTTTTTTCCAGATGCGGAACTCGTGCGGTTGCTAGCCTCAGCCTGCATGCAAGTTGATAAAGGAAAAGAGCAAGCAGAACAACAAATCAGCTGTGACTTCTTCAAGAAATAAGCAAACTGTAGATATTCCAGTGTTGCCTGATGACAAGGGAGGACTGAGGGTATGCAGATTTTGTTTATTTCAGTAAGGCATTGTTTTCAGCTGGGAGAATCTAGCTGCTGCCTTACTTTTGCCCATTGTGGAAATTTGTTCGATGAGAAATCTGTTGACCTACTCTCTGCTACACGGTAGCAGCACCACTGAGGGTGGCATGAGAGTGGCCAAAGATCAGGTTTCACAAAGTGCCAGTTGGGTTCCACCTGCTCCTATAAAGCTGCAGTCCTCATCCTGAACAATTTGTTAACATGCGGGTGGCGCTGTGGGTTAAATACCACAGAGCCTAGGACTTGGCAATCAGAAGGTCGGCGGTTCGAATCCCCGCAACGGGATGAGCTTCTGTTACTCAGTCCCTGCTCCTGCCAACCTAGCAGTTCAAAAGCACGTCGATAAATAGGTACCACTCCAGTGGGAAGGTAAACGGCATTTCTGTGTGCTGTTCTGGTTCGCCAGAAGTGGCTTAGTCATGCTGGCCACATGACCTGGAAGCTGTATGCCGGCTCCCTCGGCCAATAAAGCGAGATGGGCGCCGCAACCCCAGAGTCCAGTCATGACTGGACCTAATGGTCAGGGGTCCCTTTAACTTTACCTTTAGATGAAACCACCCTAGAACTGATGACTGTCACAAGTGCTTCCTGAACAATGTTCTGCTGCCATACCATTGTGGTTATTCATTGTTCTTGGCTCCTAGGGAAAGTCTCCTCTTCTTCTTCATGAGCACTAGTCCAAGGAAGGGACTCTGTAACAAACTCTTGCATTAGAGTTACACAGCAGGAAAAAGGGATGTGGATATGTCTAGACCTTTTGGAGTTTTGTTTAGTTTTTAATTTTAAAAAATCAGCACCAATAAATCCCAGGTCATTTAGCGCATTATTTATCAGTGTTTAAAATATATCATTATGCATAATTATTTGTCTTTTAAAAAAACACCCATATCATTATCTTTATTATCTAGTCATGGTGGAACAGGATGTCCAATAGATTTCGCAAGCTGAAGTTGACCCAAACTTTAAATCATGGATTCTCCATCAATCCAGCTGTACCTTTTCCAGAAGAGTCAGCATCGCCATTTGATTGCACAATGAAGGCCACGTTACCAAGTGATAACACTGTAAATTACGATGCCATTACAGCTTGGGCAACAAAGAGCAAGGCTAATGGTAAAGATTATTCAACATTCTTTTCAAACAGATGTGAAGTTGTCCAAAACTAAGGGAAGGTTCTGGAAACTTTCTAAGGGATGTTTTTGCGAAAGCCTGTTAAAAAGATCTTTTTTTTTTTGGTGTCGAGAGACACGGGTTGAACGTGTATATTGACTATTATGCTATCACACTGCCCCAGTTAATTTGTAATGGACAACATCGTTTCTCACTGTGTGAATGAACTACAAGCAGAGATGCATTCTCCTTTTTCACATCCACAAGTGGCAGATTAGAAGCTTTTGATTTCCAGCTAACCATACTGTAGTTCAAATACTTCCAAATGCTGGCTTATTCAGAAATGCTAAACTTTGCATGGTTTAGTCATTAGATTCAAAATAGCATTGTTTATATGTGAGGGTTTTTCCCTTATTCAGGTATAGGAAGCACAAAGGGAGGAAAGGATGACGAATTGCTGACAACAGTGGTAAGTCAGAGTATTGCTGGTGCACCAAGTGTTTGGTGTATTTTCTAGCAACTCTTGCCCTAAAACAAATTTGAACCAAAATGAATCAAGAATTGTTTCTCTCTGCTATTATTAACAATTACTTTATTGTCAGATACGTTATATAGACCTTGCCCCAAAAAGAAGCCACAGCGCTGATCAGTATTCTCTGAGTATTTTCATTTTTGTTTATTTAACAAAATGTACATCAGAAGGTCGGCGGTTCAAATCCCCGCGACGGGGTGAGCTCTCATTGCTCGGTCCCTGCTCCTGCCAACCTAGCAGTTCAAAAGCACGTCAAAGTACAAGTAGATAAATAGGTTCCACTCTGGCGGGAAGGTAAACGGCGTTTCTGTGCACTGCTCTGGTTCGCCAGAAGCGGCTTAGTCATGCTGGCCATATGACCCGGAAGCTGTACGCCGGCTCCCTCGGCCAATAAAGCGAGATGAGCGCTGCAACCCCAGAGTTGGCCACGACTGGACCTAATGGACAGGGGTCCCTTTACCTTTATATACCGCTTACTAGAGCAAAAGACCTCTAGGCAGTTTGCAATAAAGAGTCGAAAACAGTCATTTAAAATACCAATAAGAAAAAACATTACAGACAAGTCACATAAACATGAATATATAAAATGAAATCTGTAATGAACAAGACACGCTTATTAAAACCATGTATCAAGATTACATGTTAAAGTTACACAGCTGGGTGGGCTTCCCAGAAGGAAAAAAAAATCAGTAGGTGCCGAAAAATGTACAATGAAGGCATCTGTCTGATTCAGTGGGCATTAAATTCCAAAGTGGAGGTCCTGCCACCTTAAAGGATTGGTAAAAGTGATAAAATGGTGTTCAGTTTCATTGGTTCAGTGTTTATGTTGCTGGGTCTACTTAAGTTGATTAATACCTATGTTTATGAGCAGCATCTATAGCTAAGAATGCAATCCTATGCATGCCTGCTCAGAAGTCAGTTCCATTGAATTCAGTGGAATTTACTTCCAGGTAAATGGGATGTTGTGTAGGGGATTGCAGCCTAAATTCTAATTTATTGGATGTAAATGCTTGATTTAAAGTTTATTTCCTCTCTATTTTTGTTGTAAACAAAAGTACACAGAATTGCCTTCTTTGTGATTGCCTTATTTTTCTTGCTATTTAAAAAAATCCCTGCTTTCTTTATTCCTCCACCCCACACCTCCGGTTTAGCTAAGAAGTGGGGCTCCATTTACAAGGCTGCCTAACGACAAACTGAAAGCTGTTATTCCACCTTTCTTGCCCCCATCAAGTTTTGAGCTGTGGAATTCTGACAGGACGCAACCAAGCAAGGATGGTAGCAGAGAGCAGACAAGGCTTGGCCTTCCACACCGAGCGACCAGTCCTGACAATAATGGCGGCGGAAGTTCCGACAAAGGAAGAGAAGTAAACTAATACCCTGCCTGGTTTCATTTAATCATAAAGAGTTGTTCAAACACATTGTTTTGTTCTCCTTTAAACCAGAGGGCCTGTTGATGTTTTGTAGTGCGCTTGAGATTTTTAAAAACAAAATGCTTTTCTTCTGCTTAATTAAATGTAGGGATTTAGGCTTGCCCGAATGTACCGTACATGGAAGTGAAATAGAGTGGGCAATTCTATTTTTCAAATATTAGTGAACCGCTTTAGTTAAAGCTGCATCTCATTTCTTTTTCTAGGCATCCTTAAGTAGAGGAACGAGACCCATTAAACTATCAGCCTTTGCAAGAAGACCTCCTACTCCCTCCACCTCAAGCAACTTCAACCATTCCCCCCACTCTTCTGGTGGATCTAACAGCATAGCCGGAGTTAGCAGACATGGTGGAGAAATGCATAATAAATCAGGTGCTTATATTATATATTTGATTCTTATCTCTTTGCCCGACAAGTTTTTGTTCAAAGCCTGTAAATGAACGTGAAATTATTGTGCACTTATTTTGTCATGCCCATAAACAGACCCATCATTATCTAGGTGGATAAGTACTACTAATAATAATAATTTATTATTTATACCCCGCCCATCTGGCTGGGCTTCCCCAGCCACTCTGGGCGGCTTCCAACAAAATATTAAAATACTGTAATACATCAAACATTAAAAGCTTCCCTAAACAGGGCTGCCTTCAGATGTCTTCTAAAAGTCTGGTAGTTGTTGTTCTCTTTGACATCTGGTGGGAGGGCGTTCCACAGGGAAGGCGCCACTACCGAGAAGGCCCTCTGCCTGGTTCCCTGTAACTTGGCTTCTCGCAGTGAGGGAATCGCCAGAAGGCCCTTGGTACTGGACATGGTAGAGTTTCTTTGTATTTAAGAACTTCAGAATAAGTAGAAGGCCGGCTGGTAAAGCTTTCCCCAGAACCTCACCTGCTGAAACTCATGCTTGTAAAACTTTTCGTTAGACAAAGCTTTACTTGCCAGCTTTGTGCTTGTTTAAAGGTGCACACACACACACACACACACACACACACACACACACACACACCAAAGCAGCTGGGCAACGTCATTCTGCTCAGGCAGGACTTGAAGACTAAAGGAAAGCTGAGAAGTCTCAAATATAATTGCAGAAGGGTGTGGAAGATATCAGGTGGCAAGGGAACATTATGAATAGTGAGGCTTCCTAGATCATTACACTGCAGCAACTTTTTTCCACCTTCTTCATTCCTGATCGCTTTTGCCCAAAGCTCTCCCATCTTCTGTGATGTAAAACATAAGTGCTGTTTGCTTCAACAGGTAGGTGGGTGAGGAAGGTGGATGATGGGATCTGGGGCGAGGAAGGGTCAGAACAAGAAAAGCTGTGGTGGCTTCCTTTCCACAGCTGTCAAGCTGTTGATGAGTGATGGTGCTTCTACTAGAATGCTCTTCTGTGAGCCCTAACTGCAGAACACGCCTTCAAGGTCTGAACTTGGTCAGAAACTGTGCAAGAAAACTAAAGGAGGCTAGCTAATCAGGGAGTAGTGATAGCACTGTGAATGTGCTGTACATACCACCATGCTTGTTGAATAAAGTTATTCAGTTAACGTGAACACAGCATTTCAAAAATTACATGTATCAGGCTCTTATTAGCCCCAGTGCCTCTGTCCTTCTCATCCTCAAAGTAATTTGATATTTATTTTCTGGTTGTTGTTTTTTAAGAGCTCAGATTTGATCACTCTTTAGCAAACTAAGGTTCTTAGTGCTAACAGGATTGTAGCCAAAACAGAGTCGCTGAGAAACAGGATAGGGGTAACAGCAAGATTTGTAAAAGTACATTTTATAAACAAACAAAAACAAACACTCCCTAAATACCCCAGTGAAGACTGAGCATGCTCAGAGCATGCACATGTTGACTATTAGTGGAAAGGATGGAATGGCCTGATGAAGGAAAGGATTGGTGGTTGACTGGCTGGATACCCCAAACCACCTAGTAGGCATACATTCTCATCTTCTGTTGCAGGTCCCTCTTCTATTGCCTAATCTCACGTCTCCAAAGCTCTGCATGTCTGCATTCTTTTCAAATCCCATGCACAGAATCACGCAAATGTGATGACATCAATAGGTTCTCATTAGCTTTATGAAACAAGCTGTCAGGCTGTTTACAGGAGCTAGCCAGATGGCAATAGTAAAAATAAAAAAGCACTGCTTTAAACTGTTGAATGCCCTAGGATGACTTTGAGAGGCGATTGTTGCACAGAAACGTAAAGGGTGAATAACTTTTACATTGTAAAATGTATCTGAAGAAGTGTGCATGCACACGAAAGCTCATACCAAGAACTAACTTAGTTGGTCTTTAAGGTGCTACTGGAAGGAATTTTTTTGTTTTAACTTTTACATGGTATTTTATTCAGTATACATTATGAACGGTCTCAGACTAACAGTGAAATCCTAACCGCGCTTACTCAGAAGTACGTCTTTTCAAATTCAACAAGGCCTCTGTTCTCAACATGGATGACTCAGAAGGCCTCTTGCCCTCTTGTCCTCGCAATAACATGATGTGTCTTTTCTGATAGATTGTTAACAAGCTAGTGTGGTGTTGTGGCTAGAGTGTTGGACTTAGAAGACGGGGGTTCAAATCCCCATTCACTGACTGACCAGTCATTGGCTCTCAGCCTAATCTTCCATTCCTGCTCTGCTCCACCACTGCCTCCTCTGCCCCCCACATTGCTTGTCATTTCACAGGAAGCCCCTCTTGGTTGCATCACCCTGCCACTCACTGACCTCACTGCCTGCCTGTCTCCTATGCTTCCTTCACATTGCACAGTTCATCATCAGCATGACGACAGACTAGAACAAATACAGTGGTACCCCGCTAGACGAATGCCTCGCAAGACGGAAAACCCGCAAGACGAAAGGGTTTTCTGTTTTGGAGGTGCTTCGCAAGACAAATTTCCCTATGGGCTTGCATCGCAAGACGAAAGCCCATAGGGAAATGCTGGCGGTCGGGAGCAAAGACTTTTGCCCACAGCCGGCCTTCAGAAGAGGACCTCTTCTGAAGGCCGGCGGGGGGCAAAAGTCTTTGCTCCCCCCCCCGCCTGCCTTCCCCCCGCCTGCCCCGGGCGATCTTAAAATGCTGGCGGGCGGAGCGAAGCGTTCGCTGCCGACCCCCAGCATTTTAAAATCTCCCCGGGACACGGGGAGATTTTAAAATGCTGGGGGTCGGCAGCGCTTCGCTCCCGACCCCCAGCATTTTAAAACCTTCCCGGGACACGGGGAGATTTTAAAATGCTGGGGGTCGGCAGCGCTTCGCTCCCGACCCCCAGCATTTTAAAACCTTCCCGGGACACGGGGAGATTTTAAAATGCTGGGGGTCGGCAGCGCTTCGCTCCCGACCCCCAGCATTTTAAAACCTTCCCGGGACACGGGGAGATTTTAAAATGCTGGGGGTCGGCAGCGCTTCGCTCCCGACCCCCAGCATTTTAAAACCTTCCCGGGACACGGGGAGATTTTAAAATGCTGGGGGTCGGCAGCGCTTCGCTCCCGACCCCCAGCATTTTAAAACGCTGTTCCGAAGGGGGGGGGGCGGGAACACCTGCCCAGCCGCCCCACTTCGGAACGCTGTTCCGAAGCGGGGAGGGGGGGCGGGGACACCTGCCCCAGCCGCCCCGCTTCGGAACGCTGTTCCGAAGCGGGGAGGGGGGGCGGGAAGACCTGCCCCAGCCGCCCCGCTTCGGAACGCTGTTCCGAAGCGGGGAGGGGGGGGCGGGGACACCTGCCCCAGCCGCCCCTCTTCGGAACGCTGTTCCGAAGCGGGGGGGGGGCGGGGACACCTGCCCCAGCCGCCCCACTTCGGAACGCTGTTCCGAAGCGGGGAGGGGGGCGGGAAGACCTGCCCCAGCCGCCCCGCTTCGGAACGCTGTTCCGAAGCGGGGAGGGGGGGCGGGAAGACCTGCCCCAGCCGCCCCACTTCGGAACGCTGTTCCGAAGCGGGGCGGGGGGCGGGAACACCTTCTGAAGGCGGGCAGGGGGCGAAAGTCTTTGTCCCCCCTGCCTGCCTTCCCAGGGGCTTTTAAATCGCCCCGGACAGCGGAGAAGTCCTCCGCTGTCCAGGGCGATTTTAAAATGCCGCCCGCCAGCATTTTAAGATCGCCCCGGACAGCGGAGAAGTCCTCCGCTGTCCCAGGGTTTTTTAAAATGCTGGGGGTGGGAAGAAAAGCCCTTGTCCCCCCCCCCAGCCTTCAGAAGAGGTCCGGGGACAGACTGTCCCCGGACCTGGTCTGAAGGCGGTTTCCCTAGGAACGCATTAATTGATTTTCAATGCATTCCTATGGGAAACCGTGCATCGCAAGACGAAAAAACCACAAGACGAAGAGACTTGCGGAACGAATTAATTTCGTCTTGCGAGGCACCACTGTACAGTATAGAGAGAAAACCTCTTCTTTTTAATGACACTTCCTTTGTAAACAGATGCTTTTAATGTTGCTTGAAAATGTTGAAATGAGATTGCTCTCAGTCTAGAATAATAAAATTGCTATTACATTCTTGACTTATGTAAGATTGGGGTTTGTGTTTTCGTTAGGTGGCAGTGCCGATAGTGTTTTGTCTCAAATTGCTGCTCAGAGGAAGAAAGCTGCTGGTATTCCTGAACATAAACCAAGCCAACAGCAAGTGCCAATAGGCCCAGCTCCTTCACCCTGCCCTCCTGACGTGGAAAGTGCACAGACCATTGGCAATGGACACATTTTAAAGGTTTTTGAGTCTTTTAAATTTCTCGTAGCTTAGAGCTGAAGTAGTGAAGCATGCTTGATTTGCAGACTTCCCGTCTCAGTCACACGGCATATATGTATATTGCTACGATTACTTAAGTCTTTTGGCCTGTAGACATAAAGCTAATATCTGTTTGTGAGAATGTCCTCAAAATGAATATAGGGAATAAGGAACAAATAACATCTGAGTTTTAGTATTTTAAGCAAATTGATTATGCCAACTGTTCATCAGGATGCAAACTAAGGATGTAATCCAGGACTCAGCGATATCAGCTGGATTGTGACCTGGGTTCATCAACATAACTAGTGGAACACCCTTGGAAGGGCTGCCAGTTATCCAGTTACTAAGAGTCAAACTAAATGTGAAGGATACCTGAAGGAGCGTCTCCACCCCCATCGTTTTGCCCGGACACTGAGGTCCAGTGCCAAGGGCCTTCTGGCAGTTTCCTCACTGCGAGAAGCCAAGTTACAGGGAACCAGGCAGTTACAGGGAACCTGTGGAATGCCCTCCCACCAGATGTCAAAGAGAAAAACAACTACCAGACCTTTAGAAGACATCTGAAGGCAGCCCTCTTTAGGGAAACTTTTAATGTTTAACAGACTATTGTATTTTAATATTTTGTTGGAAGCTGCCCAGAGTGGCTGGGGAAACCCAGCCAGATGGGCGGGGTATGAATGAATGAATGAATGAATGAATAAATAAATAAATAAATAGCTTATTTTACCCAAAGTGGCTATAAGAAACTGAAGAAGAATGGGGACAGCGATGTTGCGTTTTCCCCCCTATGGGCTATTTGTCTTTGAGACTACTTCATGCCCAGCAGAAAAAGGATACAAGTCCTCACCATGGAGATGAATTTCTCAGGCAAGAGTAGCAAGCATGTTCTGAGGCTTATACTGCAAAGTGAAGCACCATTCTGAATTTGGCCCAACTGAACACCCCTCCAGATAACATTTAGGCACATTTAGCCACTTTTGTTGGATCCAGATTAAATTGTGTTTAGAGTAGACCCTTTGAAATTAATAGGACAGGTTAGTCATGATTAATTTTAAGTCCCATTGATTTCAGTTAGCCTATTCTAAGCCTTAGCCAACAGCAGTAAGCAATGATCTGGAGTGGAAGTAGGGAAATTCATGATGTGATGATGTCATAAAAGGGCAGAGTGCTTAGATATTACTAGAAGAAGGGGGTATCTCAACATGGGAAATCCACTGTTATTTCAGGGTCAAGTATAGATCTAGAGCTACCCTCTCAGGCAGCTGATTTACTGGTAAAAAGTTTAGACAGGTCAAAAGCTTTCCAATGTTAGAAATGGTGTGTTTTCCATTCGTAAATGCATTGGGTTCACCGAATTCAATTTGGCCAACTCCTTGAGACCCTTAGAGTAATTTATATGGGTGTTTCTGGCACTAGTCCAGAAGGGAAACTGTGTGGGTCATTAGAGGGAAGTGGCAAGATGCTTGCACGACAACATACATGCATGTTGTGGAACACAACCTCTGCTTTAAAGCACACACAGCTTTTTCTGTGAAAGGTTATAACCAGATGTCTTCATATTCCAACCGTGTGAATCACCCCAATACGCCGTCGGTAAGGCCAATTGCCAAATATATTTTTGTCAGGAGGAACATTTTAATTACCACGGAGTCTGCTTATGTAAGGAGATAAAAATACCCAAGTAAACATGTGCTAAAGTTCTTGTACTTCATGTGAACATTAAAATAAAACAGAGAAACATTCCTGCTACCAAAGCCTACCACTGATGTTTAATTGTGTTTTTAATATTCTGTTAGAAGCCACCCAGAGTGACTGGGGGGCCCCGGCTAAATGGAGGGGGTATAAGTAATGAATTATTATTATTATTATTATTAACACATGATTATTTATTCTTCTGTTCATTGTTAACAAAAACAGAAGTTGGATGTGAACAAAAAGCCTCCATCTGAAAATTCGTCTACTTCTAAAAGCACATCCCCAACTCTTACGCCGTCACCATCACCATCTGCATCCCCCAAGGTTCAAAGTGCAGAGTCCTCGCTCTCCTCTTCTCACAGGCAAGGGAAAAGTAGCGGTGGCTCCAGCAGTGGAACTTTGACAGATGAAGGTAAGCAGTCCCCGGCTACACCGTCAGCAGGATCTCCCTGGACTGTACTACTTAGAATGTGAATTGTGCATTTGGATGTCCTCCTGTGTTGAAAACACTCTGCAAATAGAAATCTTCAGACTGGCCTTTCTTCTATAAATACTCTGTTTATGTGTATGTATGAGAAAGGACAATCACAAGACCAATTATGCTCTGCATTGCATAGAAGGTTTTGCATGGCTGAATATTTTCAGGGTTACAGGAAAAGTTCCGGGACAAATCGCTGTTCAGGCTTCTTGATATGATCTCTGCATCTGCATGATTAGTTCGAAATATCGGTAAAGATATGTATTCTCTGCCCTTTGTCAAAATGATTACAATTATTTCGTTTTTTTTATTTAAAGATGAACTCACAGGCATCCTTAAAAAACTCTCACTGGAGAAGTATCAGCCTATTTTTGAAGAGCAGGAGGTAAAGTTTTGTATGAACTGTTTATTTGTTCTTTTCCTTAATGCTTTCTGTGCGGCTGGCTGAAACTTTCAAATCATGAAGAATCATTAGGCCATGGAGGCCAATAAGGAAATTTATTTACAGAATTATGATCTCAGATTTTTATTATCTGGCTTTTCAGAAACAGTGTTCTTAAAAGGGAACATAGAGCAGTCACCAACAATGCAAGGCTGTATTTTTGAATATGTATTTGTTAAGAAGACTTATATCTTCCTTATAGCCCAGAGAAGCTTTTAAGGCAGCTTAGAAGAGATTCTCAAAATGGAATCACACTCAAATTTGGTATAAGAACAAAAATTACATCATGACTGTATGAAACCAGGATTATTCAAGCTCTTCTCTTAGTTTCATTGATTAGAGCTTGTCATTTTAGGGAGTGAAAATTTTTGCAAATTTCTTCAGTAAGGGAGCTTTAAAATATGTTTTTCAGTGTGAGGAATTCAAATCTGCTATTATTTTTGTGATTGGACAACTAGGCCTCCTGAGAGGTAAAGGACAATAATATCATTGGCAGTCTCCATATTCCACAGCTTCAACAGCAAAAGCAAACTACCCAGTATTTCTGGTCCAGCTGTCTTTGGTAACGCTCCATTTTCGCCACATAGCAAAGGGAAGTGGCTTTTCAAAACTTACATAAAGAATTACACCCATTTGCTTGAGTGACTTCTATTGACTGTAAGTGATATTTCATGAGCATAAAGGAGGAAAATATAATATATATATTCTGGGCCAGTGCCCCCAATATGAAAGTGCAAAAGCTTTGGGCATAAGTTGCTTTCTGCCTTTGAGCTCAGATAGAATAACAATTTAGTGTTCATTTAAGCATATTCCACTGCTGTGTAAACCTTTTAGAATTACTTAGAAATACAGTTGTGTTTTGCTATTTTGCCTGCTGCTACAGTTGTGATATCTTTTCATGCAAATCTTGAAAGCTAGTCAAAAGTAGAACCTGTTCTCTAACTATTTCAGTGAGCCACAGACATGCAATGGCGTTTAAACATTCAGTCAATATAACTTTTTGATGTATGTTCCTAGTTTTTAAGTGTCTCGATACAAATGGCAGAAACGTATTGACCGTAGGGACTTAGAAAGCTGCCTTATATTGAGTCAGACCAGATGTATTTCCAAGGTTTGACGGCTCATAACACCTGATTGGCTCTCTAAACACTCATGCTCATTGGCTACATTGTAGGAAAGCTACTGCATATATCAACCTAAGCAAGTTGTGCTTTCTTTTTCTGGTTATTTGGCTATAACTTTTGATAGAATACAGATAATTGAACCAACTTTGTTGCATTACATTCTTCATTAAATTATCTTTCCATTGATGTATAATTTTATGGTGTTACTAAAAATAAAAACGGTTTCCACAATTTTGGCCACTAGTGTAGATAATAATAGTGATATAGTGCTTTAGGGTGTTTAAAGTATTTCACATACATTATCCATGACCCTTATAATATCTCTGTAACAGGGTTATTAACTCCGGCTGAGGCCGAGAATGACTTCCATGTAATGAATAGCAGAGACAAGTTTTGATGCAGAGATTCCTTTGCTATTTTGCAAGGTCTTCAGACTAACACTTCACACAGTGCTAAAATTAGTAGCAGCAGTTCCTCAGACTGTTAAGGGGACTTAGGTCTTGCTGGAGCCAAAATGGAGGGGAGAGTGTAAAATGCTCTCTCTGCCTCTTAGCTCAGTGTCTCCTTCATAAATTAGAAGAGAGAAAATGCATTTACGGATTTCTGTTTCGCAGGTGGATATGGAGGCTTTTCTCACCCTCACGGATGGTGATTTGAAGGAACTGGGAATTAAAACTGATGGTTCTCGACAACAAATTCTGGCAGCTATTTCAGAGCTGAATGCAGGAAAGGTATTTCAGAATATATTTTACTTTCAGAGTGTTGTTTTTTTCTGCTTTTAAGAATTTGATTTCTCAACAACTGATAGAGAGTGCTCAGAGAAGAGGGTGTTTGGCTTCAGGACTGCACAGCTCCTTTTCTTTAACACCAAAGAGTTTTGCCCTAGTGGGCTGGCTCAGGGACTTTACAGTTCTTCTGACTCCAGCCTTCATTGCCAACAATTTGTATATTACTGGGGTTAGTTTGGCCTATTGGAAATCCAGATTTGAAACTTCTGCAGTGTTTCAAGGCTCATTACTATGTGGGCAGGGCCAGTTACAGAAGTTCTTGCCACCCAGTCGTTACTCTCAGTTCCTGCTGGGCAACAGAGTGTATGGAAAGTGTTCTCTCCAGGTCAACAGTTTGCCCTATTAACATGAATCTGCCACTGCAGAACTGTTGTTGTTTAGATTTTTCCTCCCAAAGGAGAACCGGGCAGCAAACACCAAAGCAATACTAAACATTTGAAAACAATTACCGTATTTTTCGCTCTATAAGATGAACCAGAACCACAAGATGCACCTAGTTTTTGGAGGAGGAAAACAAGAGAAAAAAATTATGAATCTCAGAAGCCAGAACAGCAAGAGGGATCACTGTGCAGTGAAAGCAGTGATCCCTCTTGCTGTTCTGGCTTCTGTGATAGCTGCGCAGCCTGCATTCACTCCATAAGACGCACACACATTTCTCCTTACTTTTTAGGAGGGAAAAAGTGAGTCTTATAGAGCAAAAAATACGGTTATTATCCCTGCAGGTAAATTATTCAAGGTTGTCTAAAACAGCATCTTTTAGCCATCAAGTGCATGGGTGAGTATGAATGCTTTAAAATGTTACTATAGAGGGTAGCAGATGCATCACAGTATAATATATAACCAGTGGGCTGTGTTTAGCTTGCTGGGTCACAAAGTTGTACAGTCCCAAACCAGAGTACCTTGTGCCAGAAGCAGACTGGAGCAAACAAGGTTATTTCATTGACACCATTACCAGCAAACATGAACACCTTTCTTGGCATGCGTTCCTAAAGAACCAAGCTGAAGTTTCTCTTACTAATGATTGCATTGATAGATTTAAACATGGACTATGCATTTGGTTCTTGCTCTAACTATGGTTTTCAACAGGGCCGAGAAAGAAAAATTTTACAGGAGACCATACACAACTTTCACTCTTCCTTTGAAAGCAGTGTTAGCAACACTAGCCCTGGAAAACCTCAGTGTAAGTATAGGATGGTGGTTTATTTATCTGCTATATATTTTGGAACGTTGTTTGCCTGTTCGCTCTGCATTTGGACACCTCTTACGATATCATAACCAAATTTTGCATGATGGTTCTTGAGATGAAGGAACAGTTTTCTTCTGTGTTTGGGTTCAGTTAGACACCATTTTGAATCAAAATGGTGGACTGAACTTTTCAAAACTGGTTTCAAAACTGCAGATTATTATTATTTTGTTTCTTACAATTCCTGATCAACACTGGGGATGAAGCTGATAGTTACTAATAAAACAGTATTTGAGAGACCTGACTCCTGGCCCTCTTGAAACTGAATCTAGAGCTGAAGACGGGTTTAAATTTGAAATCCGGAACACAAATTTGAAATCCAGAACACATCTTTATCCAGAACACACAGGTCAAATTTCATGCCAATATCTTATTTTCAAAGGAAATTGTGCTTTGAGTTGGGTTTTACATATTTGCTAGTCTCCTTGAAAACAGGTGTGATCATGGTGGGGTTTGTCTTTGAAAGACAGCCTTTGAAAGACAGCCCCGTATGTGCAAACTGTTTTCCATCTGATAACTCACTCTTCAGAGGAGATATTGCATAGCATTATATCTTATATATTTCCTGTCTCCCTTGCAAATAGGGGGAAATTCTGTAATTGGATAGGGGACCATGTGTTGAGATTTCTGCATTGCAGGAGGTTGAACTAGGTGGCCCTTAGGGTCATCTCTACAACTCTACAATTCTATGACTGATATTGAATGAAATAAATACCATATAACAATCATGGACAGATAAATTCTTATCAAGGGAGAATTCAATGGCTTGGTTAATCCCCGCCCCCATGGTCATCTTTAAGGGGAATAAGAAAAAAATTGTCATTAAAAAAAATATATAACCAGGAAATATTATTGATATATGGAGATACAGTACGATCACATCTTACGTGACAGTTCACTTCCAAGGCTTCCACATATACATGAAACCCCATATACTCAAACCTTCGCCTTGGAACCATCCCCATGCCAGCATCCCTAACATTTCAGATCTGGTGTACTAAGTGCTGTTTTGGGGCTGGCTGAGCAGTTCAACGAAGTCTCAATGCCCCTCCGGCTCATGTGATCCAGAGCAGTATCAGGGCTTGCTTAGCTGAACAGTTTAAGGAAGCCCCGTGCCCCTCTGGCATGTGTGAGTCAGAGCGGTATGGGGACTTGCTTAGTAGGGCTGGAAAATGTATCTTGGCTGCTTGTTCCTCGACTATGGTGGGGAGGAAGAAGCAGCTGAGATACATTCCAGACATACCAGCATATCACAGTATTTAGCTGCTGATATATCACAATGTTGAAAACCAGGTATCGCCCATCCTTAATGGCCAAACCCATAGAGAACAAACGGACAGACCACTTTCCAAAATATATTTGTAAATGTTTGTTTTAAATCTAGCATAGTGCATAGATACTTTATGCATATCTAGCAGCTTCTGCATTTTAAAACAAAACAATTAATGATGAATTCCTTTCTGTTTGCAGCACCTGGTTGCTGGGTGAGGCCACAAGAACCTTCTCCTACTAAGAGGTAGCTTTTGAACCAAGGTGTCTCACTACCTCGCCACGGTGTCCTGAAGAAAAAGTATCATGTGTACCTGTTACAGCAACATCTTTTCACAGAATGCGCAGGAAGGATTGTTTGTTAACAACTTAAAAAAACCCTTCATTCTGCTAAGTAGCTGTTCCCAAAGCTGAAACTACACATTAGGTAGTTTGATACTTTGAAGGCCGTGAAAGACTTTCAAAAGTGAACTGTAATGCATGTATGGGTCATTTCACAGAAGTGCAAGAATGAGAATCTGAACCAAACCTCTGTGGCTTCAGCAAAAAAAAATAGTGTGTTTAGGAAGGACACCACAAAGTAACTGCAACTTACTGGAGTCTGCCATAGTCACCTGAGACTTGACTGTGCATATTGTGATAATGCAGGCATCTAAAGTTAAAAGAAACTGCAAGTGTTTTGTAAGGAGTCAAGTGCACTGACGTGTGCCCAAGGCGTGTTTTTGTGACGCACCAAACACAATTTGTATTGATGAACATTCAAATAAGATTTTTTTTCTAACTAAAGAACACTTATGATTTGTAACCAGCCTTTTGCATTCATGCTTGGGAAGTTGGTGTTTGAGGGTGCCGGGCTTGCGTACACATTATTCACAACTTCCAACACATCTGTTGTAGACAAAGTCTAGGGACAAATGCATCTTGAAATCGAAATGCTGCTCTAAGCTCCTTGGAGAAAAGGTGTGATGATGATGGTGGTGATAGTGCTGTGTGCTTACTGAAGTTTACGTACCAAAATATTGTACATAAGTGAACACACCATTCCCCCCCCCCCGCCAGTAAGAGGCCCATTGAAGCCCAAGGGGGTGGGGGAGATCACCTGCCACATTTTAAAAAAATAGTTCTTACCTTTTAAACTTAGGTTAGTGTGTATAGGGCTGCAGCTTATCTTATTTCTATTCAGAAGAAGACAGGAGTGCCTGGCGTGCTCTGGTCCATGGGGTCACGAATAGTCGGACACGACTAAACGACTAAACAACAACAACAACATTCAGAAGAAAGCCCCATTGAGTTTAGTAGGACTTACAGTGGTACTTCGGGATGCGAACAGGATCCGTTCCGAAGCCCCCTTCGCATCCTGAATGGAACGTAAAATGCGTCTGTGCGGGTCGCGTTCTGCCGTTTCTGCGCATGCGTGTGACATCTTTTTGAGAGTCTGCGCATGCACGAGCAGCGAAACCCGGAAGTAACACGCTCCGTTACTTCTGGGTTGTTGCAGAGCACAACCCAAAAGCGCTCAACCTGAAGCACATTCAACTCAAGGTATGACTGTACTTCCAGGTGAGTGTATATAGGATTATAGTTCCCACTGATTCATTGAGTAGACATGCAGTGTTAGATGCTGTTCTAGAGGCATATGGAATCTTGCCCACAGGGATTGAGAGGGTGGGGCTGTGGGTTAAACCACAGAGCCTAGGACTTGCCAATCAGAAGGTCGGCAGTTCGAATCCTTGCGACGGAGTGAGCTCCCGTTGCTCGGTCCCTGCTCCTGCCAACCTAGCAGTTCGAAAGCACGTCAAAGTGCAAGTAGATAAATAGGTACTGTTCCGGCGGGAAGGTAAACGGCGTTTCTGTGCACTGCTCTGGTTCGCCAGAAGCGGCTTAGTCATGCTGGCCACATGACCCGGAAGCTGTACGCCGGCTCCCTCGGCCAATAAAGCGAGATGAGCGCCGCAACCCTGGAGTCGGCCACGACTGGACCTAATGGTCAGGGGTCCCTTTACCTTTACCTACATGACAGTAGGTAGAAACTGGCAGTGGCAGGCAGAAGGCAGAAAGTATAGTTTGTAAAGCTAGCATACCCGGGAAGAACATGATTGTAGACCCTGCAGTTTAAGCAAGCAACAGATCTACTTGAGTTGGACCTATTTCCATGTAAATATGCTTAGGACTAAAACCCAAGACCAGGGCTCAGTCAATTGACTGGGAGGGAACCTTAGAGACTGCAACATTGCTGGAACTAGCAGGTGTGAATCCGGCCAGTTCTTTGAATGAAAGCTGCATGAAACAGAAGAATATATCTTGAAGAAGATTACAGCCAAATATCCATGGTTGGAAAGGATTTGGGAGCAAAAGTCTTGGCCAGGTTGACCGCATTGATGGGAGGAATACGTAATTAATTTTGATTTGGGTATACCTAGCAACTACTGACATTACTTTGTTTTAAGACCACATTCAGCATCATGTAGATAGCTGTTACTTGCTTCCTGTTATTTGAAATAGACAGTGTCTATTTCTCACCCATCTCCCAAAATAAAACATCATGTTGACAAGTGGAAGGGATACATACTTCACATAAAAATACATTATATGCTAAAGAGGTGTTAGTGAGCCTCTTTTAGACCTATAGCCAGATTCATACCTTGCCAACTTTCTGGGGGCTGCATTTGGGTGGTAGGTGGAGCCAGAGGCAAAAAAAAAACCCAAACCAAAACAAAAAAAAACCCCACAGGGTAAAAGTGGATTCCAACATGAACAAAATAAAAATATTGCACAAAATTGTATGGATCTTACATATATATTTATATATTTTACATTCAGTTCCCCCTTATTCTTTAGAGGAATTGTATAGAGAATAAGTGAAATATATATGAGATGTAAGGGACGCGGGTGGCGCTGTGGGTAAAACCTCAGCGCCTAGGGCTTGCCGATCACATGGTCGGCGGTTCGAATCCCCGCGGTGGGGTGAGCTCCCGTCTTTCGGTCCCAGCTCCTGCCCACCTAGCAGTTCGAAAGCACCCCTAAGACCAAGTAGATAAATAGGTACCGCTTTATAGCGGGAAGGTAAACGGCGTTTCCATGTGCTGCGCTGGTGCAGGCTCGCCAGAGCAGCTTCGTCACGCTGGCCACGTGACCCGGAAGTGTCTCCGGACAGCGCTGGCTCCCGGCCTCTTAAGTGAGATGAGCGCACAACCCTAGAGTCGGACACGACTGGCCCGTACGGGCAGGGGTACCTTTACCTTTACCTTATATGACATGTAAAATTTTATGTCTAACCCTATGACTGACAGATGTCAGATGACATCAAGTGACTGGCAGCTGAGAGGACTTTGCCAGAAACGGCTTTGTTGACCATTTGAAGGGGCCTGGCAGGCCTGATGGTTGGAGGTTCCCTATCACTTTACTAAGGGAAACTGTTCTGCTGAATTGAAATACTTTTTTTTTTATCAATCAATCTTCAATCAATCTTTATTACGGTCCAGAGACCCAACAAATCATTACAAATCAATACACAATTCATACAGCCTACCTCCATGTTAAACAAGCATTTTGTTTAGAATATAGGGCTCATTTGTTCTTGCAATTATTTTTTTTATTGTTTCCTTCCATTACAAATGGCTATCCTCTTGGAATTGAATTCACCCTTAGCCCCATTTCATACTAATAGCCAGTAGAAATGACGGTGGAAGCTATAAAATACACAGAGCTAATAATTGTATGAATTCCACACACCCATCATGCATTGTGAGCAGTTCTCACACAGTGTGACCACTGTGTGGAGCTCTTGCCACACACAAGGGTTTTTAATCAGGGGAAACAGGGTAAAAAAGTGATTTTGTGCTATGCTCCCTTACTCTTCTTTAATTGAATAAAAAGGTGCTGATTTTCTCACATGGCCAGTCTACTACCCCTATGAAATAAGGAGGCTCTCTTAAACAACCAGGCCACAATCCAGCTAAATTATAATTATTTTATAAAGTTAGTTGTGTGACTAAGGGTGCAGTCCTGTTTTCCCTGTCACCTAGGAATAACTCCCGGTGAATTCAGTGCTGCTTACTTCTGAGGTGACACATAGAATTGTTATTGACCCTTTGTGAGTTCATCTAAAGATTGGGAAAAAATGCTTTAAATAAACAATTATAATTGTACAGCCAAATTAAATCTTACTGACAGCCACAATACTTTAGTTGTGATGAAGCTGCTCTATTGGTTTCACTGCAGGAATTAATCTTCCACAGCAATATGTATCAATATATGATTGTTTTAATTAATAAATTAAATTCTTTATAGTGTTTTCTAAAGTGCTTTACCAGTAGGCCATACACGCCAGGTGGGAAAGTTAAGCAGGAAAATGAAGGAAGGCTTGGTCTTTCTACCTCTCTACTCTCAGAGGTTCAAGCGGGGTAGCTTGTGAGAAAGTCTTATCAGTTGGTGGCCCCAATAATGCTTGGATCAGTCAGGGCAGGCACCTTGCACTCTGGACCCTTGCGCCTCCTGGCTGATAAAAACTGACAGGGACGGGACAGCTTGCTGGGCCACGGAGGTGATTAATGCTGCCTTGCAAGAGGGCTTTGGTCCCTGCCTGCTTGAAGTGGGCAGTGGTAAAAACATTCTCAATAAACCCTCAATAAAATCTAAATAACTACTGACCAGTTGCCAATCACCCCTTCTTGGGCAAAATTATTCCAGCAGGTAGTCGCAGTCCAGATCCAGGTGCTCTTGGAGAAATTTGATTTTCTAGGTCCATTTCAATTGGAGTTTAGGCCCAGTTTTGACACAGAAACTGCGTTCGTTGCCCTGTTGAAGAAGAAGAGGAGTTTTGGATTTTATATCCCGCTTTATCACTACCTGAAGAAGTCTCAAAGCGGCTAACATTCTCCTTTCCCTTCCTCCCCCACACAACACTCTGTGAGGTGAGTGGGGCTGAGAGACTTCAAAGAAGTGTGACTAGCCCAAGGTCACCTAGGAGCTGCATGTGGAGGAGCGGAGACACGAAACCTGGTTCACCAGATTACAAGTCCACCGCTCTTAACCACTACACCACACTGGCTCAGTGTTGGGAGAGAGGCGGAGAAATATGTCCTTGTTAATTCTCCTTGATCTCACAGTGACTTTCAATACCATCAACCATGGTATCCTTCTGGAGTGGCTGTCTTAGTTGGGGGTTGGTGTCACAGCTTTGAGGTGCTTCTGGCCCACTTGGATGGTCATTTCCAGAGGATGACACTTGGAGAGTGCTCTCCGGCCCTGT